TAGTATATATATATATATATATATATATATATATATATATATATATATGTATATATTTATGTAGATATACGTATAAATAGGGTGTGCACCGGCTGTGCACAAGTTACAATATTGCGCAGATTACATTTTAAGCGGCAATATTAATAGGCATGATATTTTATCAAGATAATAGTCAATAATATACTTGTCACGTTCAAATAAAAAATAATATGCAATGCTTAATATTTTCCGACAGACTTTTTACACAAATTTTCGAATATTAATTACATAAATAACAGATTAGCTGTCCAAATTGCGAATAACGAATGTACTCTGCAGATCCACACCAATGTACATTGCAGCGTCGTTGTATCGCGTCTCTCCCATCGTCTCTGCCATCGTGTAAGTGCGGCGCGTGGTGCGATCACAATGGAGAATTTGACTGCTTTTGATTTGAAGGGAAACAATGGAGTCAGACACTACTTACTTGCGCAGTTATTTCGCCGGCGCTGCCGGCTATAATATTCGTAGGTGATTGCATACGCGAGAACGTACGGGAGAAAGAGGGAAGAGAAAGGTTGGGGGGGGGGGAGGAAGGGAGAGAGCGGAATGGGGCTCATTGCACTTTTATCGCCGGCACGACCTGTCGGAATGGAGGTGCGAACATTCTGGTTAGCAGACATGGACTTTATATACGCTCGTGATAATTTACTATTAACCTCAGAGTGATTGTTATACGAATATCTGACATACATTATTGTATGATTAAATTGAGAGAGAGAAAGCAAAGAATTAATATATTCAGCTTTTCCTCGCAAATTTAGTTACTTTATTTTACTCAAGTTGTTAATTGAAATTGATTGACAGAACGTTATGTGTTACAGTTTATTTTATCCTAAATTTTGTCACGAACTATTTTTAATATTTAAAGTGTTATAAACTATGTATAACGTATGCATAAATTACTTATATTGCAAGAGAGATAATTTACGTTACACTAGCGTTTCTATTTTTAAGTAATCTGTCCAAATCGGCTTTCCCGATCGCGATGACGGAATCTTTGTCGCTCTTTGTGCCGGCTCGGCGCCGACGCGTGACACAAGAACGAGAAAGGGAGAAAGAGACGGAAAGCACGAGAGAGATGGGGTAGGAGTGGGAGGCCATTACGTAGACGTAATTCAAAAGCGGGAACGTATGCTTCATTTATTAAAGAGATTGCCTCGAAAGATTGCTGTTTCGCGCATGGCTACGTCTCTTGGCGCTGCCTTGCTCCCTTCAGCCACGGTCGCTGGCTCCTACGCAGCCGTCATCATTATTGTGCCGGTGCCGCTGCAGCAGGCATTCGAATTACGGCGCGTTTATATTCAATTTGTTTCTAGAAATTACAATTTGTTGGGAATTGGCGCGGCAGACGACGCCGAGGAGTTGCGAGCTGCCCTCCTTTTCGTGCACTTTCGGACCCCAAGTCATTCGATTTCGCATCGAAGATTTCTTAGTTCAAAAATGTTAGTTTTAACAATGCGTGATCATTGTGACTATTGTGTCTGCATCACTATTGTACTTCGATCGTGGCAAATTAAGTTTTAAAATAATTGCTTGCTAATTGATTTTACAATAGTATAAACAATGATGTCCATAAGTTTAATTAAAAATTATTTTATTAATTTCATTGAATTATATATATATATATAGTGATACTAGCATCATTCACTTATATTCTGGTCTAAATCCAAGACACTCGGCGGGAATAGAACGGTTGATTCGAGGGTTGCTCGTCGAAGAACACTCGGATGATATATGAAGACAATATGGTCTCATATTTCTGTCGCTGTCGCGGTAGGATTAAGCTTATACTCTTTTGCGACCGAATATCTTCGGCAGTTGTCACGTACTGCCAGCACCCCACAGAAACTTATCCCCCCCCTTTCCCCTGCTCGCCTCCTCTGCTTGCATTCTCTCGTGACAGCGATGAAAAAAATAAGTGGCGAATGATAAATCACAGTGCCGATCCGAACATTTATCAGCTGTAACAACTATTTATTTATAAATTGTTTTAGAACTTTAGCTCCCATGGCAAATCTTGAATTGCAATCGCATATTTTCGCATATGTCGAAAAGGAGCGTAATATATTTCTTATTCTTTCCGATAAGTAATTGATAGTTAGATTTTGCTGTTCGCAAAAGAAAGTTCCCTTATTTATTTGTTTATGTTCAAAGGGCTCATACATGGTCATGCAGATAAAGCAACCATAGTACGACAAAGACTTATGGTACCGTTCTACCCTTTATTACACTCTTTTCGAGACAGAGGGTATAAAGGAGAAACGCGAGAGAAGGCGAACGAGAAGAGATGGCTCTTTGTATCGGTACACATCTATTTTCGTTTTTTCATCTCTTTCTTCTTTAATGCTGTATTTCGCAGTCGCCGTCCTCGTTTGCTTTTACTCGTCAGTCGGTAGACGGCCATTAGTAGTAGAGTAAAAGCTATTGGAAGCTCGTGGGATCTTTGAAAGGGTGCAGATGACGATTTCGGAGGCACTGTGTCTGCATTTCGCTCACCTCGCTCACGAACTTTCCCGCGCCTTTCATATTGCAATGATATCTCTGCTATCTCTTTCATTCGCGGTTATACATCTGCATATTTTTAATCGTATTTGCAACTTTATCGCACAAAGTGCGACGTGTGATTCGCATTCAAATATAATTAATATATTTTTCTCGCGATTGTGATATATTTGGAATGAGAAAAGCTGATTCGCGCGTGTTGTTCTTCTTGCAGATAAGCAGCCGTCGTTACTTCTCGGATTTTTGATCGTCTTCGCCATCACGTGGGTGAGTGCAATGATATAAATCATGTAATGTACTTGTTTTATTACCGTCGATCCGTGCCGATTACGCAACGAGCTCGTAACTAACTGCCGATGATGTATGCCTGATAATTGCCGATTTCAATCTGCTGAAACGGTCCGCTAATAAATAATTTAATGCGCCGGGTTTTCGTGCATCGGTGATTCCGAGCGATGCACGGTCGGTCGGTCGGTCGGTTGCATGCCGTGCATTGATAGGTACAATGCGACGTGATTGTACCAATCATGCGATATTATAATCAATAATACACGCTATTAAACCCTAACTATGCACGACTGCTACCGCTGCTACTAATACAGGCTATGCACCAAAGCGCTATTAAGGCTTCAGAGGCTCTCATCTCGCTGCTCGCATTCTTACGAATCAGCTTCTCCGTAACACCGACGTAGATGTGAAGGTATTTCTAAACGTTCGATTTGCAACGGATGATACAAAGCGAGAGCTGTCGAAAAGTTCTAAAACCAAACGTCAAACGTAAAGTCGTACAGCTGGCCGAAATAAGACGTGACGGTGAGAACCTCTGGGTAAGATCAAGTAAATAGAAACAGGCAGTGCCAGTCAGTGCTCGGGGGAACGCAGCATGAGACCTTTGAACGTCCGCACTGTCTTTGCGTTTCTATGGATCGTGGAGTATAGAGGATCAATGAAAGGCTGTGCGATACGAAGGGTCACGTGCGCAACTCGATACCCGGTCAATCGATCAATGGCGAGCGATATGCGTCTGATTAACGTATTGAAGATCGTCCGCACGACCGATCCCCGGCTGTGATACTCTTCTGCGAAATAATGAGACGGATTCAACCACGTGAGATTTTAACGACGCAAACTACTAATTATTTTTAATGTACTTGATACACCTGCAAACGGATACGGCATTATAGATAAATTCACGGGTGAGATTAGCGAGCAGCGGAACGCTTTTAATACCAGAGGAGCGTCATGGTCTCGAACCGAGAAACGAAAACTCTCTTCAATTATTTGTCTTCCTCGCTTCCGCGCTACGGGAAGTTTTCCCAATGGCTCTCCAGGTTAATACTTCCGAGGGACTTAATACTCTTTGTACCTATTTATAACTGCGAGACGGAATCGCGGGCACGTAATCTTCCATTATAATTGACCTCTCCGCCGTTACTCGTTGTTCCGCAAGTAAGTGCGGGCAGGAAGGGAAGGGCGGGAGGGTCCAAGACCCCGTCGGGGAGGCGAGGAGAGGGCCGCTGCTGCAGGGCGGCGCGGGTAAAAGTCAGAGGGAGAATCATTCCCGTCTACCCCGCGAGTGCACCGCAGGTACACGTCGGTCGGTATTTATTTTACAAAACGTTTCTTCCTCACTCTTCCGCCGCGCCCGACTTAATTTACCACCCGAGGTATTAATTATAAAAAAGTCGTAACTAAATGCCCAGCAGGACGGAGTTACGTGCGCGCAGGTCCGCGCGGACGCGGCTTTAATTTTCCTATTTGTCGGGGAAGTTAGCGTCTGAGCGAGCGCGGAAATCATTAGCGAAGTAAAAACCGGCTCCCACGCGACTTCACCAATACCAGAGCGACGGCGGGCGCCCGCTTATAAGGCGCGATGTCGTTACGCTTTACCCCGCAAAATTGAATTTGGGATTCTCCGCTCAATGCAGAGATAAAACCGCGTTACGTGCACCGTTGGAAAGTCGCGCGCGAAGTGGGGCCGTCAATTAATATGCGCGACGGCCAACTTCTTTCTGATACGCTCTCTTCGTATTGCGGAGAAACACTTTGCCGGGAAATAGAATAAACTGCAAAGTTGCGTATACAGTATTAAGTGATTGCACTTGTAAATGCAATTGTAGATGCATTCGGCTGATGGATGTTTTAAACGAATGTTTTCGCTAATGCTATTTAATTATAAGGCCGTGCATAATTGATAATAACTGTAATCAAAATAAGAAACGTCTCGCACGAATTTTCTCGAAGGTGGAATGGCGAAGGGGCTGGGAAGATTGAAAAGAGAGACGAGGATCCAGATGCGACGACGAGGCCGCGTGTCGCTCCTCGCTTCTCGTAAATAAATAATTAGAATCTCCCTTCAACGTCTGCAGCACTTTTCTTTTTCTTTTGCCTTCCCTTCCCGGCTTCTCGGCCGGTGAATGGCAGTGATTGGCAGTTAATGACGATGCTTCACGGACTATCCTCCACACCTCCGATACCCACCGTTTTCTGTCAGGACGAGTGTCCCGCGTAATTTCTATCGAAACGACCGTGATTTTATTCCGGAGGACATCGCGTTCTGAGACACGGCCAATTTCTCCCAGGACCCCAACGAAAAATCCGTCGACGCTGTAAAATCGCGTTAGCCTGCAAAAATTGCTTTCACAATTACATTTGTCTCGTTAATGAGCTACTTATATATTCTTATCTTTTATTCTGGAACCTGGACGTTTCATTATGAATATTTGACGAATACGTTTCTTGCCAAAAAATGGTTAAATATACGCCGGCGTTTTGTAGGATAATTTCGACTAATAATTCATGGAATACGCTTACATTAATTCCATTTATTTATTTTACCGTGTTATAAATAATATTCTAACGAGATATTCGGCGTGAAATTCAACATTGATGTTGCGCAATTGTCGGATAACTCAATCTTACTGCTGACTGTTTACAATGCGCAGCGCATCTCTAAATATATCAATTTCGTCTCTTCGGAGGACTTAAGTTTCGCCGTTTCATTGTCAGTCAGACGCGGAGATCAAACCCAGCTTCTCGCAGCAATCATAGATATTCGCGGTCCGTCGCGGCGTCGGCGACCCACTCGGGGAATAAAGTAGAACAATACGAATCGCGAATTGTGTTCGGCAGGCCGTCGGGAGCCGTCGGCGACAGCCTATTTACTCGGATAACGATGCTGCCGGTTCACGTCGAATTGGCCCTCTTCGGTCTCCGCGCGCGCGTTTCGCGTCCTCCTCGCCGCCTTCCTCCTCGCGTCCTCTTCTCCATCCGCTCCCGCGACCCCATTGTTCCACCATAAAAATGTCAGTTTCGCGAATCTATAGTTAGTCGTGCACAAAGAGGACAATGAAGGATGTATGGAAATAGCCAGATAGGCAGCCGCCCGCGCCTCCGCCGGGCACGGCAGCCACTCGAATGCACTTGTCGTGCACATTTAAACGACAGTAATGAACCATTGTTGAGAATTATCAGTCCTACGTCGCGGAGCTTGCTCGCTAATTATCAGCGGAGCGCTGTATACGCCGTCGGTGTCGGTGCGCTGCCGTCGGCGGCCCAGTCGTCGCGCTCGACTACTTTCTTGCCTCCTCTCGCTCGCTCCCCCGGCATGCAATAAGACTTTTATTCGTGTCACGCGAGAGCCGCTCTCTCGTGTAAAGTGCATCTGCCTCGCTTTTAGAGACGAGGCTTTATTGCGGGCTGTACGCGGTAGGAATTGAAGTGGGCGCGTGGAGGTAGGGGAAGAGGGAAGAGTCTTGTCTACTGATAATTAGACACAAGATACGGCGAGGAGGCGGTAGATCGTGTAAATACCTCGTTGATAGTCGTTCGTTAATCATCCGGATGTGCGTCATATTGTCGAGGAGGGTTTCTCGATTCGCGATTTTCCCGGTTGTGCATTCGCGAGTCGGTTTCAAATAAAATGGGAATTTGTCGCGAACCGCCGAAGCGTTGAGTTAACTTAGCAGCGATAAAAGAAAAATCTCAAAGTGCCTCGAGAGAGTCGAGCGTCTTTGATTTCACTTTAATTTAACTTTATCGGGAGTCGGCCAATAGTAATGTCCCTAATTGCTTGTCGGCAAATTCTGGCCGGCGTCTTTTATTGAAATTCTTGTCAGACTTTCTTAATTCAACAGTCCGATTCGCCTTCATAGGTTAACGTAATATTTTAATGTCGCTATTTTAGTTTTTTTAAATCGACTCGTATGAATCGATTTTGCATAAATTATTGTCAGTATTGTTACATGTAAATTAATTTTATCTTTTGAAATTATTATTTGAATTTATATGAAGGGAATAGCGAGCATACAATATTACAATATATTATATGTAAATGTAAATTATCGTATTAAACATATAAATTAATTCTTTGTTTTCGACATTGAATATTTTATATTATTTTAATTCTCACCCACAAATAAGTTTGTTATTCTTTCGCCGAAAGGCCACGCGCTAATCTGATAATAAAATCGGCTGCTGCTCTGCTTCCACGGCGTATAATTTTACGGGAGTTCTTGCGCACGCTTAAGTCTCGCGCTTCGCTCCCTTCTCATGCAAACGATTTAATCGACCGATCGCCATTTCCAGAGGGACCCTCGGCCCGATTCGACTCGGCTCCTCTACCGTGAAGAGCAAAGAGGAAGCGCGGCGCGCGGCTTAGTGTAGGGTCGGCCGATCGGCCGGATCTCCAACGGCCTTATCTTAATTATTCCGAAAAGTTAATTAGTTTTTTCCTCCCGTCTCCCCGCGGAAACCCTTTGAACGTTTCCGCGTCTGACGTGGACCTCGCGTTCAAGGAGAATCTCGGAATGAGAACGACCGTCCAATCGCGCCGCCGCCCGAGCGCACCGGCCGAGTAATTCGTTGGACGCTCCCTTTTGTGCCTTTAATTATTCTCTCGCCCGAAAGGCGAAAAAGAACACTCACGTACGCACATATACACCCGTATTACGCGCCATATGCTCCAAATTTTTCATATCACGGGTTTATGCTCTCAGATATCTGTCGCTAATCGATAATAATATATTTGGACAATTTTGCAACGTTACAAATTTCTCTGGTTTGTTTGCATTTTAAAATTTGGCTAGTAATATTTCAATACCATAGACAAATCTCTTTTTCATTTGAAATTTATATAGAGACAGTAATTTGTGAATAAAATTAATAAGAATACTTTAGCAAAGATTTTTATTTGACTACTTTCTTCCACTTTGAAGCAAAAAAAATTCCTTCTCGCATTAGCCGCTTGTACTTTTTGCATGACCATC